AGAGAAAGAGGATGTGCGCGCATACTAAGCGTAACGACGAAAACAACCCCAACGCTACGAGTCGGTTTCGAATAAATAAATGTTTGATAATTGCTCTGTTTCGAAACCAACTATCGAAAGAAAATTAACCCGTATACTTTATGCGAATTAACATCACGAATTTGACACGCTACGGTACGTGAAACGAATACAAGTTAAACGTACTTTGTGCCGCGACACATCCATACATATAATTATAGTATAAAACGATATAAATTTAACGATTGATTCTACAATGTACACTCATAATAAATAAAACAAATAATGATAGTCTTGCCTAAAAATAAAAGCCATTATGTACGCGGATACGTACGCGGGTGTTGTGTGTGCGTGTGCGTGTGTATGCACGATCATTACTCGATATAAATCCGACGTCCTGAGTTTTCTGCAAGTTACACCTAAAAAAATACATTACATTTTAATCTTTCTGAGCAATTGTAGCGATCATTTTGCATGTCTAAAATTGTTGTGCATTAAAATCTGTACTTACTGATATTCTAACCTGCTTCAATTCACGGACCAGACAATCGATGAAACATAGTTAATTATGAATATTCGCGATAAATACATACCTCTCAACAATCGCCCGTCACTTTAATCGACACTCCCGACAAAAGTTTGCGATTTTATGCACATTTATTACGCAATTATTACGGATAAAATATGCGATTAAATAATTTACGTTTTTACTTTGCATTCCGTTGGGCGCGAAAAGAGTGAGCGGAAAAGATGTCACTCACTCTAGCGATCAATAGAGCAATACGCGTAACAGTCGGTAGGACACATGCTCCTCTACCGGCCGCTGCGAGCTTTAAAAACATTGCAGAGCGTGAATGTTTCACGAAGTGTCGATTCTAATCGCGTTTTTTATCCGCAATAATTACATAATAAGAACGCATAATTTTTTAAAAAAATTTTTGCCAGCAGTGCCGATTAAAGTAACGGGCGATTGTTGGAATGTATTATTTACCGCGGAAATTTGCGATCAACGATGTTTCCTCGATCGTTTAGCGGTCGATGGATTGAAAGAGGTTATGATTGCAGTGAGTAGAGATTTTAATATGTAAAATCATCTATAAATTCGCTCAAGAGAAATATAATGTATTTTCCATTAGAGATGTAGCGTCTATTCAAGAATTTATTTTGGGTAAATGTAATTTACAAGTCACGGGCGACCAGAGAGATGCATTGTCGTACAAAATTGCAAAATTTTTTGACAATTTGAAGCGTACGTATTACATCTAAATATCATACACATGTAGTTATATCTTTAATTATTAGAAATGTGCAAAAACTTAAACATATGATTAAAAAATTAAATAATGCCCTCTGCAATACATAAATTAATAAAAATATAACTGTTGCTTTTTTACTAACTCATAATTCGTTAATATAGCTAACAACTATTATTCAGGGTATTAAAATATAATAAAATTGCATTATAAATATCACAACATTTTTTAACAAAGTTATTAAATTTTAATTGTATACTGCACATATACATATATGTATATATATGTATATATACATACATAATATATACATGCATAAATATATAATTAAACAAAAATAGATTTTGATTTTTTTAACACAAGGGATGATTCTTGTTTCATAATTTGGAATAAACAGTAAACTATCTTTTATTCAAACATTTTTGGAAATTGGGACGATTTACGATAGATTTAATGTATTATTAATGTCTTAAAAAGTATTAAAATATCTAGCTAAATGCAGATTAGTGTTTGAAATAATTAATATTTATAAAATAATTACTGCGCACATTAAACTTTATATATGGCGATTTGAAGCGCGAAGGTTTATCTGTAAAATATACAAATACATTTATACTACAATGACATCCAAAATATTTTATCTAATAAATATCAATTGTTTTTGAAGCGCAATTTAAGAAAAGCCTGATCAAAAGACTGAAATAAGAATTTCATGAGACATTTGTGAATGTCTTTGTAATAATCCTTTAACCAATTTAAAATCAATATTACTTCAGTAAAAGTAGCGAGTAATAAGTTTTAAATTTAAATTATACTCAAGTTTACTTTAGATAAATTAAGGAATATAATTGTATTATTTATCTAAGCCTCTAAAGCTTTGTTATATTATATTGTGATCGGGGGCGTTGCGACCGTCAGAAAAGTGCCCCTACGCTGGAAGTGGTTCGGGCGCTCCAAGCGCTAAGCAAAAAAAAACGCCATGCCACCACGCGGTTTTTACACACTTGAAAAATTATCGGGGTCTATTACAATTTTGCGCCCCTCCAAATTTTGCTACGCTGAAGCGTATATTGCGTACTATATTGCAACGCCCCCGTATATATATAATGTATAATTTGTATAATTTTTTGTATAATTTTCTGTATAATTTTTATCAGCAAATTGAAGTAAAAATTGGTTCTTATTGCGATCCGTATCTCGCATCTTGCACCGCATATCAAGAATGATGTTATAATCTCTTTCCTATTCTTAGCTTGCATCATGTTGTCATGATGCACCTATCTATCTATGCAGTGAATTATTATACATACATTCGTGGTTAATGGATGATCGCCCACGTAATAATAATTAATTACAATAAAGTTTGACGTCGAGTCGATCGAACAGCAAATCCAACCTCCAACTGCTCGTGTTCTGATGTTTACCCCTGACGTCACGTAAATGTCGCCGTCGCGCGGCTTACGTCGGAAATGAAATTTAACGTCAATGAGGACGCAGTACGCTGTTAACCTGCGACGTGACCCAATAAACTGTACGAGGAACTTTTAGTACCAACCAATACTTTCAGAGTAGATTTGCGCGTGATATGCGTACGTGTTTCATTCGTAGATTACTCTACAATGCCAAACAACCGCGAAGAGAAGTGAAAAGAGCTAACAATATAATTTATGTAACTTCCAACGTAAATGAATAAATTGTATAATCGTATTAACAATTTAGTGGAAAAAATAATATACTATTTAAAGTATATTTTACATATATCGAATACAGCCTTTACTTAAGATAAAATAAAAGAAATTTTACAATCGGCTTTTCAAATAAAGATCATGTAGGCTGTGCAAAAAAAAACTGAGAAATCAAATTTAATAACTTTAATTACTTGAGAACATGAAATGCGAGTTGAAAGCTTATCTTAAAAGATTGAAATTGGGAAAGCGATTTAAATGTCAATAAGATTAAAATAACTTAGAGTGGCTTGAAATGAAATAAAGCAATGTGATTTTAACATTATGCGCCATTCTGATTTAATATTTCATCAATCATAACTCGGTCACGAATCGAATAAATGGTGTGTATTTTGACAAATAAAATCCTTTTATTTTTATTTGACGAAGCTTGAAAAATAAATTTTATCGCGTTAGGTGAAGTAAATTTAAAGTAAAACTGCCACTTTGTTTTGTAATATTAAAAGTATATATGACTACATTCATATATTTTTCAATAAAAAATACCAGAACTTTGTTGTCAAAAACTGAATCTAATTTAACGATAAATTAAGCGTTATCTTCATTCTGTTTGTTATTCTAATATTGAACAAATATTTACGTCACGCTATGTAATACCTACGCGACACCAGCAACGCATCAATAATAATGCAAATTTTTATGAATGAAAATACAAAGCAATCTAACATGAGCAGCAATACATGTGCTGCAAATGTAATTCAACAGAATTCAACGCAATATTTCGCAGAACAACATACTAGATATAAAACGCAAAATGTTTGTAAATCTTCAATTTTGGAGTTTATTTTGCAAGGTAACCTTTTGATTAAGCAATAAACGACATAGAGATGCGATCAACGTACGCCGGAGATAAAGTATAAAAATTAAAAAAATATTTATAACGCGTACAACGCTTCTAAGACTAATATATTCCGAATGAATATTCTATTCTGTCTATGTGTATTCTGTGTGTTTCATAAATGCACGCATTGAAAATTTTTCACGTTATCATATCAATATGCATTCCCACACACACACACACACACATTTTAATCTGTTAATCAAATAAATATCTTATTAACTTTTTATCCCGTTAATCAAATAAAAAACATCATGCTGAATGCTCTTTAAATAAAAAACTTTTAATCAAAAGGTTACCTTGCAAAATAAACTTCAAAATTGAAGATTTACAAACATTTTGCGTTTTATATCTAGTATGTTCCTCTGTGAAATATTGCGTTGAATTCTGTTAAATCACATTTGCAGCACATGTATTGCTGCTCATTAGTTACAGCATTTCTCTGTAAAAATGTTGGTAACGTAATTCCCGAAATTTTATTTCCATCAACTCGCGCTAAAATTTCCACACTTCGCTTATATTCGTATATTCTCGCGTCGCGATATTTCCTATTCCACGCGAAAATTCTATGTGTACTAACACGGACCTACATTAATCCTAAGCTTTGCTCTATATACCTGTCTCATTGTGCAAACGCATTTTTTTCGCATTATTATACAGAAAAAAATTTAATAAAATATGATGTTTTCCTCTTTCTCGCAAACATCGCAAAATGGATTTCCTATAACTTGAACGTCGCACTTTCACTCCTGGGAGTAAATAGCATGTTGTAAATTTTCGGGACGACGTGAAACTAAGAAGACGCATTTCTCAAGGGCTGAATAGTCGACGGGAAACGTGCGCGTGTCGCTTACTTTAAATAATGTTTCCAAATGGCGCGAAATACGGCATGTGCATCGTAAATAAACGACGGGATAATGCGATAAAGTCGGCTTAAAAAGAAAAACAAAAGAAGTCGATTTTTATGCAGTTGCATCTTTCAAACGCAGCTGCTTATACTTTGAAAATGATAAAAAATAATACATCCTAATCTAATATAATATTGCGTTGACCAGAAAGTTTCTTCGGATTTGTCGATGAAAATAAAAACAAAAAAATGCAAAGAAATATTCTGATCAACCCAATAATATTTATTACAATGACGATAACTTCACATCTGTAAACATGAAATAAAATAATACAGTAAATTTACATGATTTTACTATTATATTACTGTTACAATTGCAGTAAACAGCATTTAGCACGTATCGAAATAATTTCGTGATACGGAAACACAAAACGAATTCTGAACCAATTGTTTTATAATTCCTGTAATAAATGCTACCGTTCCCGCATTCCGAATACCGCAATTCGGTGGCTTATATCCCAGGTCCCGTATGCTGCGTCCCGATTGTGCGGATTTTAACCACCCACGATAGGTTCCGATTGTGAGGATCGATCGGCTTTTAAATCGCACAACGCTTTTTTAGTTAACTTCGTGGCATTGTGTCGCCGCCAATGTTCCATGAATATTCTTCACCGTGTCGCGCCTGCAGGTGCATATTGGATTTTTTTTCTGGTTGATCGATGCAATATATCATACAATGAACGAGGATTACGGAAACGGCGAACCGGCGGCTGATCACTTTCATACGCGTCATTTCCTGCATTCAGTTACCGCATCCACAATCTCCCTTTATAAGGGTTCGAAGCAGCGAAGGAAAAAAAATCTACGTGGATATACAATGTGAAAGCTGGGAAGCTCGTTCGAAAGCAGCGAGATAGAAAATGGTGCGCGTGTGCGTGAGAAAACGTGATTGCGAACTAAAGCAAGTCTGATAATCAAAACGCGAGGAATGATCTTAAGAAACGAAAGGAAACTTAACCAAGGAGATTGCGAGAAACGGAAAATGTGGAAAGCTCAGATTACTCGAGAAAATTACAGTGCTCACACGATAAAACGTGGAATAGTACTAATAGTACGGCTAAAAAATTAGAAAATAAGAATAGATAAAAAATAACAAAAATATAACAACGAATGAAATTATATTGGAAATATATTCAGCAATGGAATTTTAAAAAATAGAACGATTCCGATTGAAATATATGTAAAATATATAGATAGATACAATAAATATTGCTTCGAGACCATTTCGGAACAAGAAGCGAAAAATCGCTTTTACATAACGTGAAGAAATTGATTAAATGAAAAATTGTGCCTTATTGTACCACCTGCGCATGAAATCGTTTCTCCCCTTCTATAAACGCCCTTTTATTGTACACGGAATTATACAAAGGCACGGAGATTCGCGCGCGCAACAAAAGCCGTTCAACAACATCTGGAAAATCGGAAATACCATTCCATCTCTCGCTCGAGTAAATATTTCCGTATCGATGTAAAGTTTCTTCTCATCGCAAACATTTCTCAATGTAGACGAGAAAACTCGAGCATTCAAACATTCAAGCGCCGCATAATTATAGTACGCGTTGTTGCGTTTCAACAAATATAGCGGAATTCCAAATTATATTTCTCCCTCGAATTTCCCGCATTCCTCGTTTTCGCTGTAAGTCCTTTCCGCACAAGACTGTGAATCCTTCACGAAAGTCCGGTCTAGCACACATAGGGGGTCGGGAAATTCATTTCACAGAGCTGCAGGCTTTTCGAATACAAGTTGTTCTGTCTATATAACAACGACGACAACAATAAATGTTTGTCCGTGAAAGAAAATTGTGCACGAACGAGCTCGTACCGGGACGCGGGGATACTTATGAGAATACGTGCATACGTGGAATTGTACATGAGCTAACTCATATTCGAGGTGCATGTTTCTATGTATTGTGCAAAGGGGACATGACTAATCGACTGTGTCGTCACGTACCTACTATGCGCGTTTAATATCTTCCGGTATCTGTCGCGTTTGCAAAGTAATCGTTGTACAAGAGAAAACGCGGTGAAATTGTAGAGAATCGGCGTGAAAACATATGTTATATAACGCTGCCTAGAGTTTATTTTAATATAATGTGTGATAAATTGATTTTCAAAAGTCGCTTATAATGCGACTTTTCGCTCTTATGTCTTTTCACTCTAACGGAAGAAAAATAGCCGTGCCGTATCGATCGCGCGGTTTTTTTTTTCTTTCTCGATAGATAACGATTTGCATTTGACTCCACTCACGGTTTAATTGAAAGCCGTCGGGCGCTGTAATTAACGCCGATCGTATGACGTTCTTCAAAGACCCGCTCTAGACATTACCACAGCAAACGTGGCGGTGAGTAGCGTTTTAAGATTCTGCGTAATAAAATATACGCTACATAATTTGAACGAAATCACTTGCGCAAGTTTCACAATTCGACGTTTGAGTAGCAGCCGACGCACGTTATACGCGATATTTTGTTGCGAGCGCCGCACATTAATGTTTCATTGTGAGAAAACCGAGAAAACACGAGTTTCTCGCTTTTCTCTCGTGCGAGTTTTCAACGCAGTGCCGAAATAATTACAGTATCCCGGTCGGACGTTTATTTCGATTCTCGTTAATTAAACCGATGCAACACCTTGTCGAGTATAAAGTAAATTGAAATGCTACTATACGCATTGCACATTGCAAAATGAGAAACGCGACACGCGAGTGACAACGAAAGCGATACGTCGTTAAATACGCTTAATCCGAGTTTATGCCTGTGAAAACTATTCGAGAAGCATATTTATTAAATTCATCGATTGCGCTCGACGGCAAGCACGCGTCCCCGTTAACCGAGCCGTATTTAATCGCCATGTTTCAATTTTTGCGGTCTTCCATCTTACGCGGTGATAAATGACGTCCATCGGGTTAAGATGGACGTAGCCTTAATCTTAACATCTCCTCGGCTGAGCAGCGTTAAGGATTAGCACCGACGAATCCCCGAAAGTTCGCAGCTTACCATCGTAAGTTACCTCTCTCGATGGCAGACTCATCGCCCGTCTTCTCCCCTCCCCTTCACGGCAATCCGCTCAAGTAATTAAAGTAATTAAAGTACTTAAAGAGCCGACGGGACCGGGTGCTTCACGACCGATTGCAATTCGGTCCTGTTACCATCCCTAAGACGCGACTTGACATTAATTTCACCACCGAGACCACCTCCGATCTCGAACCGCTGGGGATTCCATCCTAACTCCTATCTTTTGCACACGAGATAAATCATTTCGCAATATTTCGAGACCGAAAGCGGATTTAAAAATTGCTATTTCGAGATATCTTGCGTATGTAGGCATTATAACACGTTCCGCGTGTAAATAAACATATTTATAGTAATAACAATTAACAATGATACCTCAAATAATAATTTATATGCAACCATAATGATTTTGGGAACTGTTAATGCGCAAAAATAATATTATTCTCATATTTCTCTGCATTAATATTTTACATTATTAAATAATGTTGCTTATTTGATTCTTTTAAAAATAACACATCGTATAAAATATCTATCTAGGTGCTGGAATGGTCCGGAGTATCTCTGATCGATCGGAGCTTCGAAGAGGTGCAGCAGATAATCGAGCGGACCGACGACGTGGCGGAACTGGTGGTGGAACATGCGACCGATATGTAAGTCAATGCACACATAGTAATATTATCGTAAGACAATCGTGAACAGAACCTAACAACAAATCGATTCTCTGTATCCGCCTTGTGTTTCCCGACGACCGATTTCTATGGCGTCCTCGCAAAACAGCACCGGAGACTTGCTAGACGATCCGCAATCCGGAAAAACTCCGACAAATTTGAACTTGCTGATGGGTGAGTATCAACAGAACTTGCTAAAGTATACACTAATCTATTCAATAACCTGAAGTTTCCTAACTCAAGCTTGTGGGAACGTAACTCCTATTGCAATTTCCGAACATTTATACCAAATTTACTTAACGTCAATTTTAAATTACATAAATAATATACAAATAATGTATTGAAAGCCAGAGTCAAAGTTAACACAAATAAAAACGTTGCAATTTCTATAAAGTGGCTATCGAAACTCCGCTTATCAATTATCACGCTCCAAATACGATTTTTACGAAAAGCCTTGATACATTCAAGACCGGATAAAACGTGCGTGTTTTTCACCGATCGTTTATAACATGATAACAATAAGTTCTGTAACAATCTAATTGCAATCTAATCGATTGAATGAGGTCGAGGTCAGTAGCGAAGAACGCTCACTGAAAAAATAGATCACTGTTAAAGAAAAAAAAGCGCAAGAGATGGTCAGGCGCGTGTAGGTTTGACACATGTCATTCTGGAAATAAGTGCCTCCAACTAGTATGCGATAGCTTTTTATAAATTGGATAAAAGTCCCGAGATATATTCCGGGACATCGCGAGAATGACCTCTGACCGCTGACACGGTTTCGTTTTGACCTCGAAAATACTCGCGAAACATGTATTTCTGTATCCCTGAATATTTGCTGAACGAATCGTTATATTTCAACGCGATATATTTGAATGGGGTTTTGCGTGTGCATTCAATGCGTGATTTTTTAAAAATAATCTGATATTAAAAATCAAAATTGAGATTTACATAACCAGGATTTCACTGTAAATCCTAGACTCAATAGGCAGCTTGCTTTCAACGTCCATTTTTTCAATATTTATACTTGCACCTGAGAAAACGACTCTTAAGAAACATTCTCATAGCCCGCCGTCTTAATCGTTGCAGAAAAACGATTGCGGAAAAACGTCATATTGTACAAATACGTAACTGATACGACAAAAATATATATAACAATTTTGAAATATTTTTGCAGAAACCGAAACGGACAAAACGCCCTCGTCGCCGACGCGCAGGAAACTGCCAAAGACGCCGGTATAACGAGTTGATAAATTGACACTTACACACATTGACCGTCTCTCTCTTTCTCTCTTTCTCTCATTACCCTACACGATGTACACGATGCATACACAGACTCGGGGATAAGCACGCTTATAAGCCGAGAATAAGAGCGTTTTAAGGAAAAGAAAGGGAAAAACGCAGAGGAGCAGCCGAACGCGCGAAGAAAGGAAAGGCGTCCTCTCGCGTCGTACTCTTTGCTTTTGTACATAATATATACGTGTAATTCACTGGTCGTACACGACACGTACTGATTGTACACACGTGTAAGCGACGGATGTACAGACAGGCGTGACATGTGACATTGTGGACGAGTGCGTGAGATTGCGGCTTTCCACGTCAACGTGCAACTCGGTTAAAATGAGCAAGCTACGTTATGTGCCGCAAGCGTGTGTGTCAAAAGTATCACGCGCACAATTCATAAAAGAGTTCCTGTGACCGCGATCGGAATGCCCACAGATCAACTTCAAGCACGGCGTTCCGCAGTAAGACTGATTTACGTTTCGTTCAACTGTCTATTTCCACAATTTAGATTTTTCGTAATTTACATTTTTCTTTGTACGTGATAAGATAATCCTTATTGTCTGCATCTCTAATTCTGGCAATTACATCCGCGAATTAAAATTTTAACATCTACGCACATTTTTATTAACATGAAATTTAATCGCAATATTGATACTAATATGGATACAGCACACAATGACTGTGCTGTTTCTCTGATAAACATAAGACAATCTAATCTTTTATTTATATTTTTGGAAATGTTTTATACATTAGGAAACTTCACTTCCATCAACTGCATCATTTCGTTTATCCCCGTCCGCGTTTAGTCTCATGAATAGTCGATTCGTAGATAACAGCTAAATTGGTTCCTAAAATTTTCTCTCTTTCTCTCTCTCTCTCTCTCCCTCCCTCCTCCCCCTCCCTCTCTCTCTCTCTCCCTCCCTCTCCCTCTTTGTCTTTCGGTAAAACTCTCATGGCCAATCTTATCTAAGTATTTAGTTGGCAGTGCTTAAGAAAAGCTGACAAAAAAGAAAGAGAAAGTCGAGCACTCTTACCGAGTATTATTTCCTCAAAAATTGCTTGAATCATGCAATTCAGCCAGTTTGTTTCTAAAGTAAGACACGATGCGGCACAATTCGGTCGCACATTTTTACTGATTGTACGTGATTGTACGTGAAAACTGCTACATGTAAATATTGTATGTATGGAACGTAACGAACTATAACATGGTGTCTCTTTTTGCTTGGCAAAACAAAACGAGCATATCGTTCGCGTTGTCGCAGTCGCTTCGAATAAATTGTGAAGATTGCGTCGACGGAGAAAAATAAATCTGTCGGAGATAATCGAGGACTACGTGGAAAATAACTCTCACAAACGTGTTTTGAAAAAAATTAGGTTATTTTAGAAGAAAAAAACTGCAAGGTGAAATCCAGCTCGGTTGATCTGTAGCAAGATAGTAATTTTTAATATGTAGCAACAATTTACTTGTGTGATTTTAGGATTCGTGGTGAAAAAAGAAAGAATGTAGTGAAAGCTATTGTCGTTTTCTAAATTTAAAAAAAATAGGAAAAAACACAAAACACACTCGTGTTTTGTACGATATTAATCGGAAGAAAGCAATAGCAAAAACATTCAAAAATTTCACATGAATAAAAACCGTGATATAAAATTTTCATTATTACTATTATTATTAAACGTGCAAGCGTTTATTATATCATTTATTTCTTTTAATTATATATATTTTTGAATCATTTTTCAAAGAATTAACAAATATCAAAATATATTTTAATAACGAATAACAAATTATTCAAAAAATGATAAAAAATGTATTCTCGTCGCATTTTTGCAATTTAATATTTCAAAAGTCGAAATTTTACGGCCGGTAAATTTATTTTCCTGCAAAAAACTATAGTCGTCATGACCGCCCGCGTGATTTACGAAGAATTTACTGCTAACTACTTTAATTCTGTCTCTTTTTTATTTTCCATTTTCACTATTTTTTAAAACGCTCGCGAATACTCCGATGAATATCCTATCAAACCCGAGGGTTTTAGCACGAATGGGCGAAATTATTAATGGAATTTCTTATCACTCGCTTAGCAGCTATAAAAATATCCTCGAACTATCTATCAGATGAAATTTGAGGACAAGACTGTGTTGTAACTAGTGAAAAAAAACAACACTCGCGATTTACAGGTTCAACCAGTGCCGTGAATATCCGATAACACGCCGTTCAAACATTTTGTATGATAGCTACAGGGCTATTGGCGCTTTTTAATCGATAGTATCGGTCCAACCCGTTTTAATGCTCTAACTGTATGCATAACATATTTTTGAAAAAAAATGTGCTATGTGCATCTCGCAATTATTCCATTGAATCATATTCATGCATTGAATATTACGTGCCAGACCGTGCGCGTTTAAAACTATTAAATTCGAACGTTTTTACGCGCGGTAGTATTGGCAAGAGGTATATGAATTCATATTCTCGCGGAATAAATATATATTCGTAAAGTAAATAAAATACATCGCTGAGAAGATAAACGTTCGCGTAATATTTGACATTTCAAAAATAAAAATTGCACATTTTTAAAGACATGAATCTAAGACAGATGTACAAATGTAATTATTAACAAACAAAAAAGATAAAGCATACAAATAAAACATTAATGTCAATTTCAATTTATTTACAGTTTTATGTCAAATTGTAATGTTTATCTCACTCTTTAAACGTGAAAATATAAGAAATTTCGAATATCACTGACGGCACTGGTTTCTACCTGCTGAGTAAGGTTTGCCGACGCAACTTGAGAGTATATTAAATTTATTAGCACGTTGTATACGATCCCTTTAGGCCATACAGCAGCACTCGTACAATCACTAACAGAAATGCGCGTTACGGTGTACGCCGCTTCGTTTTCTTCGATGTAATTGCGGGGGTGTTCCTTACTTTTATATACTTCAAATATCTCAGAGAATATTTACAGAAAAATATGAAAATTGAGAAAAGACTACTATTTAGTTACTTAATGAAAAGTAGTGAAAATAAATGTGTTTTATAACAATTACAAAAAAATGCAAATTTGATATCTTGTACAAAAGACAAATGCAAATATAGAATCTCGTATATCTCATTGTTCTTGCCATTATAGGCAATTATTATTATAAATATTAATATTGTAGTATTTTATTATTTCTAAAAACATATATGTGTAATATATTGTAAAATTAAACGTAATGGGAATATTTTGTCCGTGCAAATAAATTAAGGAAATCTATATTTTAATTTATATCATTGGTGACTAGATTCGGAATTCCGGAATATTCAAAGCTACGAGCTGTTTCGCTCATTTTCTTCGTTTTTCCAAACATCATTAACACACAGAATTTTGGACGGTACTGAGAGCTGTCGTGCTTCGGAATAATTTAATCTATTAGCGCTAGAAACGGTCCGCGAACATTGCATTACGCGTAGCCGTTAATTCAATCGTTTACTGATGCGTCGTCAGCTCATTCCGATACTATTCAGTCGATCCTCCCGATTAATTATTGCAATAGAATGTGACATGCGAATCGGCTAGGTGTGTAATTGCATCGATTAATTGTGAACACCTCCGTCCGTCGGTTTCGCACATGTAAGAAAGAAACATCTACGCGACACCGCAACCGATTTCTGTCTCAAGAAAGAGAAAAGCTTTCGTACAATCAATCGTAGAGAATCGCCGTGTGAGCAGCGCGTTGCTCGTGTCACCTCCAAGGATTTTTTTACGAAAATTATCCGTTTTCGCGAAAAATTAGCATCAGTCGCGAAGTCTGGGAACACGAGTAATCTAACTTTTTAAATACTTGCTTGAATTCACATTTTAACGCTATTGAAAATAAATGTTTGATGTTATATTGTATGCATGTAAATTAAACATGCTAAATTATGATTGTTGAATTTTGTGAAAAGCGTTTACTTTTAGATAATTATTTTTTGTTTTCTCATAAAATATATTTTATTAATATTATTAATTTAAAAAAGATTATTTAATTAAATATTATTAATTATAATATTATTAATTTAAAAAAGATTATTTAATTAGATATTATAATTTTTATAAATATAAATTTTATACAGTAATATTTCTATATTTAATAGTATACTGAAATTATCATATCAAAATAAAGGATAGACTTACCTTTGAAAGTATTGGCAAATAAAAAAAGTAATAGTAACGAAAGCTAAATTGTTTCGAAGGGAACACTAGATATGATTTCAGAAACTTCAAAGTTAAATCAATGTTTTCAAATGGATCTATATAAACCGTCAAGGTTATTCTTATTCCCAGATTCATTGTTTTTCTCGAGACAACGAGCGAACGAAAACAGAAACTCACACGGCTTCTAGATATAAACATGAGCTTTGAGACATAGAAGCGATTGTAAAGCGCGGGACACAGGAAGACACTGGGTCTAGTATTTTAGCGCAGTCTCTCTTATAGGTGTATATTAGGTGTTTTGATAAAATACTTACACCGAGAATTGAGTAACTTAATATAAATAATGCTGTTAAGTCAAAAGCTGACTTAGTTAATTTTATAAATGTTTACTGTTAAGAATTGAAAAAATAGGTATATTTATTTTTAACTTCTGCTTTATCGCATTAGCGTGGACGATTAATTGTAAGATGATTATTGCTTTTACATCTTCAAACAAATTTTAGGAAAAGGCTCTACTATCAGTACTAAAAACTAGACTTGTTCAGATTTTGACTTTGCTGCATCACTTGTAACAAATAATTTAAGGATATGCCTAGCTAAATATATCACACGACACATCAAGTCAATCATTTTGATTGGCTATGTAAATATTACTTGATCTAAAGACTAGAACTTTGTTATGGACCACTGTATCTCTCGCAAGAGATTTTTACAGTTGGACCAATAGATATCTATAGAATATGAAACTCGTTCCAGCACAAGACGCATATA